CGCTTTTTCCCTGAATATTTACGAGTCGCGATACCTATAGGATTAATTCGGTAGTCTGGAAAGGGAGGATCATCAAATGGCCCAATCATAAATCCTTTCTTAACCTTCTTCTCTAACAATGAATTGACTATTTCAGGCTCGTTTAAAGCAGAAATCAAGTTTTTACAGACTAGAGAATAATTAGGCATCCAGGACAACCCTGCGATAAAACCTTGAATAAGACCAGTTATTAGGTAATTGATGAAACAGCGATTAGGGTGATTTCTCAACGCCCGACTCAGCTTTGGGACGTTGACTGGGGTTGATGGTTTTATTTCTTTTTCTCCTTTTTCATAAAGCGGGTTCGTCTCGGGCACACAGATTTGGGGTGACCGTCTCCACGGTAACTACAAGCATGAACATTTACAATTATAGAATTTGCAAACATTTTCATTAAAATTATAACAGTGGAGTGGCAAATGGCATCCCCTTAGTATCAGGCTGCAAGCTTGAGCCAGGCTTAGGAGATTGAAAAAAAACTGTTTTTTGGCACAGATTGGGCGTGTGAGTGTGAGAGCCACAGATCGAGCAGGAGAGAGTTTGATGACTAGTGAAGTGTCTGCTGATGAGAGTTAAGTCGACTACAGACCAGTCCAGTCTCTGATTGAATCGCTGAATGAACATGGCAGCTTTTGCGGAGAAAGATTTATGATATTCATAAAAGAGAGTTCCTCCATATGTGAGAGCTAAGTCAGCGATAATGGCTAAATATGTGTCTAGCTCGGCTCTACGGGACGAAAAAACTTTGCATATAACATCTCTGTATATTCCAAATGCCACGATAAATTCTGCGAGAGTCAAAGTTTTTGAAAGTCGAGGGTCATTGTCTTTAAGCATCACGGACACATCACCACAGTCGACAACACGCCCGTCACTTAATTCTGGGCCCAGTAATATTTTTACAAGGTTGACATCATTACCTGCGATGATTTGGTTTCTCAACTGATGGAAGATTGCAGCATTCGGCGGAAAAAATTAAGAGCCATTGGACACGGGAACTGCACTTCCCATTGTCCTCTGCAGGAATGTCGCCGAAATTACGTCATCAACCTGTTGCTCGGCTCTAGGTAGTCGCACTGTAGTTGATGCGGTGTTCAAAGAAGCCGGTGTAGTGCCGAAATTTGCACCCTGCCAGATTATGCACCCCCTAGTATTGGTAGGTTTCGGAGTAGGTGTGGGGGAGGGGTTAGGATTAGGGGTGGGGTGGGGTTGGGATTAGGCAATCAGGTAGCAACTTCAATGAGGGGGTGCATAATCTGGCAGGGGTGTAGAATTGGGCACAACACCGGCTCGGAGAAGAGGAGATTTCCCGAAATCATGGATGCTGAGCCGGACTCCAAAGCTTGGATTCTAGAGTTCATATCAGAGATCGAAGACTGGATACTTGACAATGCTGACAACACTGGATCGTTATTTTGGATCGTGGAGTGGCTTGATCAGGCTGGGCTGGAAGGACCACATGCCCGTTTGGGTGCACCAGTGGCTGAGGTGGAAGCCGACTCGAGGTTTTTCCTTTTCTGCATATTCTTCTTGCCGGAGGTTGGAGGTGGCGAGTGGGGAGCTGGGACATCAATACTTTCACAAAGCAAGGTAAACATTTCCTCATGAGTAGCTCCGGTCGGAACCGGGATATGGCTCTTAAACAAAACTTCCAATATCTTAGGCAGAGGCCAGTCGCTAATGCCGGGAGAACAAGATGATTTGCTTGACAAATGAGTGCTCGGACGGACAGAAACATTGTTCTCGTCACGAAAAGCTTCCTCTGTTTGGCTTTGATGTTGTTGAGATTCTTCGATTGATTCAACCCACGGGTCTTCGTCATTAGCGGCAGAAGGCATGATAACCAGTTGGGTGAATAACGTTAAAAACAAGCGAAATTTCATGGTACGGCAACATACATGAAGGTCTTGCAAGCAGCGTAATAGAGAAAGCAGCAAAGCAAGCAGACAGAAGCAGTGTTTAAGTAAGGCGCCCTGTTTGAGATTTGCCAATTGCAAGCTTAGGAGTCGGATCAGCTGATAGGGGCCGGGTTTCAATTTCGCCAGTCAGCTGATAGCGGAGCTTGACTACGAGGCCTGCCTGAACTAACGCAGGATGCTTAATTTGT